TTTAATTGCAATTTAGTTGGCATTCACATTTCAAAATTGCTAGTTACAGTTTAACAGATGACAAATTACAGTAGTCAAAGTCATTTGGTGTAGAAATCAATGGGGCTCTGTTAAGGGTTCACTGCACTGACTATTCAGAGTACAATGGTGTGTACACAAGTGCTCTGTGCACATTTTACAGTGCTGTAATTTAGAGCACTTTTTATAGCACTATAAAGTTACAGCTCTCTTAAACAAGACAGAAGTGCAGTGTTGGGAGGGAGGAACCTCTGAGCCACCCTGCACTTTCCAGGCTAGGAGACAGAGGAAACTCCATAGCCTCCTAGGGCTTCTCCACTGGCTAGAAATTTGATCAGTGTACAGAAGTAATTTAAAGCACTGTAGGTTGCTAAAATGGGGGGCCTATGGGGGACCTTTAATTTTTATCACAGATTTGGGGTTTTTGATCAGAGAATTTGCATTATTGATGCCAGCAAGGATATAGGTATTGCCACACTGAAGAAGCCTACTACTCAAGGAGAAGTCCAAGTGGTCTAATATCTTGTCTTCAGAGAAAGGCCATGGGTATTTTTGCAGCAGTATCAGGGAGGGAAGAGTAGCTCTTCAAATGGCTGTGTATTTGCACCCTACAGTGCCCTTGCATTTATTGTTAAAGAAGAACCCAGTGGTACCTTGGGACAAGTCTGTGCAACTTTGTGAACAGTCTATAGCCAAGGGCTTAAGGAACAGGGCTGCCTTCCTTTAAAGACAAAATCAAGTTCCCAGCCTGGAAATACTCCCTATTTTGTGACTCCACCATCTTGAGGCGACAAGATTACCCATTGCTATTTGCTCAGGAAAGGGCCACACAGTGGAGGACTGCTTGTTCCACATGTTACTTGTTCCCCCACAAAGAGCCTATAAGAAACAGGTAAGATTTAAACGAGACTTTCTGGAGAAGCCTACGTATTCTCCCCGCTGCTCTTAGACAAGACAAAGAAAACCCTGTTTCTGAACAAGCATAATAGACAGCTTTTGAGCCAGCTTTCCTCCCAGAATCTGTTCTTATACTGCCTGGGTAGCATCAGAGAACAGGAGGAGGAAACAACTGCAGTGGGGAATCCAGGCATAGTTCACCTTCTTCAACCGTGAGTAACAAATCTCAAAAATAAATAAATAAAACCATTGTCCTCCAGGAGCCAGAGGTCCAGCTCCAGAAACTCAATCACCACCTATCGGCATGAGCCACTGATCTCCAGTGCTGATTATCTCACCTTAAGTACTGACTGCAAAGTTCAGGGTACCCATAGACACTGTAGCACCATTTACATTGGTACCAAAAATCCCTGCACTTAAATCTCTCATGGCTCCTGCCATTTTATCTGTGGTCCAATGCCCCTTTGCTAGAGCACCTAAGGGAGGGAATCTATACATTCTCAGTTCCCCAGCAACCATCCAAGACAAAGCCAAATCCTTCTTATAGAATGGCTATGTGGGATAGGACCATTCCTTCTGTGAAGGACTGTATCGTCCACTTCACAAGTGAACCAAAAGTTCTTATGAGCTCACTTTCACACCTCGTTGTGGATGCCCTGATGTGAATCCAGAGAGACTAGAGACTCTTCAATCTAGAAAAGAGATGGCTGACATTCACAAGGAAATCCATATACCCCAAACCTCCACAGTACCTCCTGTGTGCCCCCAGGCCATTACAGTTACCAACCCTGTCCCCCACCCCCCACTTCAGTCTTTCCTGGCATGAGTCATTATTAAAAAGAGGAAAAGAAAAGAAAAAAAACCCATCCAAAAAAAGACAACCCCATTTTCTATTGTATCCAGACCCAAATCTCCCTCCTCAAGAGAGAAACTTACTCTACCACCTTGACCTATGCAATCCTACATGTTACAAAGCAAAAAAGCTGAAGAATGGATCTAAGCATACTTAGAAAGCTTGGTACCCCGGGTGCTCCCTTTCTGATTGGTTGATGTAGTGGGCTATCTAAAGTATTCCACGTGCTTTGCACATTTTTAATCTAGCTAACATTTAAAGGGATACTTCTACTCCTAGAAGTAATCTCTTTGAGCTTCGTTCATTACAGGCCAGAATCAAAAAAGTGCACGAGATGCCAACAAAAATCTTTCTATTGCCTTCACTGGATTGGGGAGCAAGCAATTTTTGCCTCAATGGGTTTCCCATGCCAGCAAAGTTCAGGTTGCTTATGTGGTTTTCAAGTAGCACGCAAGAGATTGCCTTACAGAACTGACCTACCGTCTTGCAGAGGAAGCAAAACAGGACCAGATGCACGGGGAAAAATGCAAGGAAACTGGCCAACAATGCACTTTACTCTTGGAGACCTTGAGGGCCACAAGGAAAGATTTCTTCGTATTCACTGTATGGTTGCTGTTCTGCTGACAATATCAACTAGAAAATGCAAGCTGAGTTCACTGGACATGGCAATCTCTTCACTGACAAGAGAACCAAAACTACAAACTTGTTTCATATAGACCAGAGCTTTCATATAGACCATGAATTGCCAATTTGTGATATGCATGCCACAAGTGGCATGAAAAGCATCTGTGTGTGGCATATGGTAGACTGGGGAAGGAGCAGAGAGCATAGCAGTAGATAAGGCAGGGAGCAGAAAGCAGACCGACAGATTGGGTAGCATGCACAAGGCAGGGAGCAGAAAGAAGAGTAGCAGATCAGGCAAGGGGATCAAAGTGGCACTCAGGGATGGTATGAGGCTTAATTTGTGGCACATCTGCCAAAAAGGTTGGCCTCTAGTGATGTAGATTTACATCTGGTCATGATCAAAATGGGAAGATTTAAACTTGATGATTTAGCAATGATCCCCATTACAAGTGAACCTTAGAAATCCAGTCCCCTTCCCCCCCAAATCATAAAGTATTACCTTCCTGTTTTACTGAAGGTCTGAAAGTTGCCACACAGGATAAAAAAAGAGCAGTGAGTGGTCTGGGTAATGTTCCCTGGGCTAGAGCCTCACCTGAGGAAACCTGGCAGAACTCCATCAAAGTTTAAACTGCTGTAACTTTACTGACTAAGTGAATGTCTGGCCCATTATTTGCTGCACTGCACGCAACTCTTTGGAAAGAGAAGCATTCGTGTCATGGAAAAGTTGTGGGGGCACAGGAGGGAGAGAATTGAGATGGATGTGAACAAGCTGTTCTTTCAAACAGAATTAAGAAATAAGACATTGAACAGAAAACCTCAGGTCGCAGATTTGTCCTGCAGCCTGCAAATGGATTGCTGCCATCTTCAAACCGTGTGAAGAATGGCTCTTTTTCCATTACAAATAGTTTTGCTCTTGCAAAGCCATGATAGCTTATGGCAGGCAAAGAAGTGACTGATGTTTAACCCTGCAGATGCCACTCCCTTGCATGCCTTTAAACAGCTAAAATGCCAGCAGTGAGGCCTGGACCCCAAGCCACAATTCCAGCTTCTGAGTTGGGCTCTTCTATTGAATTCATTTCCTTTCTTCTACAAGAACATTCCAAGCTCCCTCCACTAGCAGGATTGCTGAAAGTTACCCTCCAATGTGCATTGTGGAGATTTTTAACACTGGGAAATAAGGCAGCCTGCCCTTGGTCTCCTGGATTCCCTTGCAATATCAGGGTGCACAAAGGCAACCACTGCATCAGCTGTGTGCAGTCATACAGCCCACATGCATGTGAAGGTGTGTGTGCATGTGCAAGCACACATCTTCTGATAAAGACTAGAGGCAGCACTAGGACTTTTCTATGGAAAAGAGATGCAGTGTGGTTGCCTGGATCATCTCTCATTTACAATTAAGCGTCATCCCAAGTTCAACCTGGCCAGCCTCCAGACTCCTTTCCCCACTTCCTATTCTGTGCGTGCTGCCCTCAGTCCAATCAGAGCTCTAAAACCTCCATGAGTTTGAGCCCTTAAATAGCACCAAGGAAGGCTGTTAAGGTCCACAAATCAGAGCTGCTGACATACGCTCACCTGCTAGACTCTCTCTTTTGTCCTGCTTTTACAACAGGGGTGTCTTTTCCCCACCTCATCACTTGGTCCCCACAGAGCTTTCATCTGGAAGCTGTATGCTTGATCTCTGACTACTGAGCACACATACTTGGAACATGGCTGTGCCTGGAAGGTGCGAGGCTGAGCTCCTTTCCTTCTGGATAATTGTGCTGTCCTTGGGAAGAACATTCTCTGTGGATTTCCCTTACCTGGGATCCTCTTTCAGCCTGGAGTCCTCCTTCCAGGAGAACTGCACCCAGGTGGGTTCCTCCTCATTTGATCTTTTCTTGTTGCTAAACAGAAACTCTGCAGGGGCTCTCCAGACTTTATAGCCACTATCATATGATTTGACCTGCTGCCTAAGTAGAGTCCCCCTGCAAGTTGTTAGTACCAAAACCTTTAGGGTAGAATTTCAAAAGACAGTCCAAAGTGATAGTCCTAAGCGATGCTGATATTTCATCCTATTTGTTACAAACTGCCAGGGTCTGGATTTGGAATTCTTAACTCAAATCTATCAGCAATGGGGCTGAAACTTTAATAATGAGGTCAAATTGCAAGGAAACAGCTCTATAGGTCATAGACAACTGAGTTGATGTAGACTCCTAGAGAACAGGTGCAGGAGAGAACTGAGTATCACATCAAGATTGCAGATTCTAGGTAACGGATACGGTACATTATGATTAGCCTTCTTTAGGCTCGAGTCTCCCAGCCAATCTGGGAAAGCTATCAGGTCTGGTAAGGCTGCACTTCTGCACCTTGAAGCATACATCCAGCATGCAGATTGTTAGGAAGCTGTGGTGACATCACTATGTTGTGCTGTGACACAACTAGCTGTGTCACGGCAAGGCTAGACTTTGCTGAAATTTTGCAGCAAGAGCCAGAACTTTTTGATCCCGCAGCCCTAAAAGGGAACCTGTGGGTCAGGGTTAGCCTTGCCATTGATATCTCACATAGTCGTAGCCTTCCTCCGTCTGTCCGTAACCACATCTTGTTACTACAGGCTGCTTCCATTTACCAGGAAAGGACATTTTCTTTATCTACCCTAGGGTTGCCAACCCTTCTGGGTTGGCCAGGAGTCTAGCAGAATCGGCATCAAACTCCCAGTGACTACTGAAAGCAATCTGGGAGATTGATATTATGAACAGATTGAAAAGTACAATTAATGATTAGAGGTACCATACATGGGTCCCATATTGGATCGGCACCAATATAAGGACAATTGACAGTATTGGCAATTGGCTTTTTTTGGCTGATGTGGCCAATAATATCGCTGATAAATGTCCTGTGCATGCATGCAGCCACAGCACAACATGCAGGTGACCCAGAGCACAGATGGGTCTGGCTGGTAAGTCTGTTGTGAGAGAAGGAGTGTGAGGGGTAGGGGGCAGGGAGGGCAGGTTTAGGTAAGGGAGGGAGTGGGGCAAGGGCAAGTGCAAGCACTGGCGCTGCACAGCCAGAGGCGGGGCATGGGACAGAGCCACGAGCGGCTCATTTTCAGGGGGCATGGGGATGGGGGAGAGCAGCTCCAGTGGCTGCGGAAACCCCCCGGCGAGACAGGGGCTGCATGAGCCGCTCGCAACTCTGTCCTGCACCCCACCCCAGCTGTGCAGTGCCTGCCCCTGCCCCAGCCCCAGCCCCACTCCCTCCATCACCACGGGGCCCCAATCTCCCCCCCAACCCCATGCCCTTTCCCTTCCCCCTTGCCCTTTCCCCCCACAGACTTACTAGCCAGACATTGCTCTCCAAGCTCACCAGCTGCATATTAGCAATCAGATCAGTATAAGCTGATATGGTTTGTTAAATATTGGCCATCAGTATCGGCCTAAAAAATCTCTATCGGTGCACCCCTATTAATGACGTTACATCTCCTAGAATAGCTTCAGTCAGAGTTGGGAACCCAAATCTACCCCTAAGTCTAGTTGCTGATCTCCTCTGTGCTTCTGTGCTGTCTTACATCCCTGTGCTAAACAGCCACAACTCCCCCTAATCAGCCTCTCCAACTTGAGTGGTGTGTGCAACCCGCCCCCAACCCCCAGAAGATGACTGGATGCCTGATCTGACTGAGGTACATTAAACAGTATCAAAGTATTCCCAACTGATTTACAGTTCCTGGGGTGCTGGTTTATCCTCCTTCCGTTCCAAAGGAGACACAAAGCTGCCTCCCCTGAGAGCATAAATACAGGGCACAAACAACTGAACAGTTGGACTGTGAGCTACACACCATGGGCCAGATCCATAGCTGGTGTCAACAGGCTTCAGAGGAGCCATGTCAGTTTACACCAGCTGGAGATTTGACTTTTTGTTGAACAGCATGTGCAGGACTGACGTTTTTCCTGCAGCAGTGCATGTATCAAAGGAGGACACTGCTTATGTGAAAGACAAACCCAAGGAAGCATCATTAGGGGCAGAGTTGCAGTTCAGTACCCCAGGCCTGAACCCTCAGCTAGCACAGGCTAGAATAGCTCTACAGGATTGTGTTAAAGCCATACCACTTCATGCTATGTGAGGCTCTATAAGGAGCCATCCGTCTCAAACTGGGAAGCATAGACTTGATGCTCAGTAGGTACAGAATAGGCCCGTGTGAGTTGGCAGCGATCCGATCTGGCTTCGGATCCGGCCGCTTCGGATGGCTGCGATCCAATCCGGAGCTCCACACTGGGTTTCCACCTCGATCCGGCCAAAGCGGCTCCGAAGCTTCGGAGCCACCTCTTTGAGATCCGGCCATAGGGTATAATGGCGAATCAATGAAATATCTATAACTTTTTTGGTTTTACGTTCGATTTGGATTAAACTTGCAGGGATGGTAGCCTCTGCTGAGAGCATGAAACCTGCCAAGTTTCAAGATCAGTGCAGGGATTTGGGGGGAACTATACCCCAAATTCTTGAAAGCCAAACTCATGTCACTGCTGTGTGTTACAACACAGGGGGGTCAAAACTGCAAGAGTGGTAGCTCTTACTGAGGCCACAAAGCCTGCCAAGTTTCAAGAAGATCGGTGCAGGGGTTTGGGGGGAACTGCACCTCAAGCTGCAGACAAGCAAAACTCGTGCCATGGGTGACACTGCGTGTGTTAAGGCGCAGCGGGGTGACAGCTGCAGCGATGGTGACCCCTGCTGTGATGCCTGCCAGCTGTCGAGGAGATTGGTGCAGGGGAAGTCTAGGGCCCTGCACCCCTAGCTGCTGATGGACAAAACTCATGCCAAGACTGTGTCTGTCTTGGGGCAGTTGGATTGTCTGTATTGAGTCTTTCCTCTCCTTAGCCTGGTTTTGTAGGTGCTAATTGATGCTCTTTAAGTCATTATGTAGTAGCTAGGTCCTGTGTATTGAGCTGGTTTCTGAGTGAATCATGATTGACTGGTAACCAGGAACACAGCAGCTTAGCAGCCAGGCCTGCAGCAGTCTCCCCCCTCTTCGCCCCAAGACAGACGGAGTCAGTCCCACAGCACCCATGGCATGAGTTTTGCTTGTCCACAGCTTGAGGGGCAGTTCCCCCCAAACCCCTGCATCAATCTTCTTGAACCTTGGCAGGCTTCATCCTCTCTGCAGAGTCTACCACACCTGAAATCTCATCCAAAACGGACAAAAAACAATAAAGCTGTAGATATGTTATTGTTTCCCCATTATACCCCATGGTTGGATCTCCAAGGCAGCTTCAAAGCTCTTCGGAAGCGCCGAACTGCTTTGGGAAGCCGAACGAGGCCAGCACTTCAACCTGGATGTGCTGCTTCGGACCCTGAAGCGTCCGAAGCCTCACACAGCCCTAGTACAGAACAGCCTGGATTGTGATAGAATATGGATGCATTTCACAAGAGTTGGGTCCCAACATAACATGCCCGTGCATGGGCTCCCTCGGGCACTTTTAGCAAGAGTCCAATGTGTGATGGAAATAAGTGTGATCATTTAGGGATGATATTCAAACCTTGCCAGTGACATGACATCTCTTCAAAAGGTCCTAGCAAACATTTGACTGAGCAAGACAGGACTGGTCTCTAGAGGACGGAAGTCCCCTCACATGTGCTACTCCATTTGCTTGCTCAAGTACACCAAGGGCATGCAGCATGTGTGTGAACAGCCAGGCAGGCATCTTATAGGCCCTATGCCTATATAGGGATCCAGTTTGCATAGTTGTGATATTTGGTCCAGTCTGCTGCTGCTCTTGGGTTTGAAAAAAATAAACCCTGGATCTACAGTCCTGGTGACAGCTCATGCATAGCATCATCACAGCCATAGCAGGATGTCTCCTAAGCCCCATCTGTTTAATTGTATGGAGTGGGAGGGGAGAGGGGGAGATCCCATTGTTCCCAAGCCGCAAATGTGTCTCCGAGACCTGAAGTGAAGCAATAAAATGCTGCTAGATTCTCTTGTACAACCCAGGGGATGTGATATTAATTATTCACGTGCCATTGTCAGGTGCTTTTATATTACCGAAGGATTGCTTCTCCTTGTTCCAGTACTGAAGATGTGATTTGCAAGGCTATCAACTGTACATCCAGGGTCCCAGCAGCAGGTCTGGAGAACAACTCCACAGCCCCATGCCAGCTGGAAGGAGAAGCTGCTCTCTTTCCTGCTTCCCCTGTATCCTTTTCCCTGAGGTAAGATGCCATTAGGCTACTAACTTCTTCAGCAAGCTACATGCTAGTGAAAGGCACTAGATTGACAGGTGCAGTTGGAGGCAGTTCCAGCTTCCTCACACTAACCCACCAGTATATTCCCAGCCACACAGGCAGGAAACCCCATGAAGGCTAGAGAGGCCAGATTCAACCCTGGGCTACTTTACTCAGACTGAGAATAAGAGTAACAATGGGAATAGCAGTGGTAGCCTCCTGCCTCTGTGTCGAGTGGATGACAAAGCTGGTCAGCTCCAGCACAGAGAGGACAAGGGAAGAAGGGGCTGCTTCTGCTTCTGATGGAAGTTGGCTGTTGCCTGTGAAAGTGTATGCCTCTGAACAAATTAGGTCTCCAAGATGCCACCCTACCCTGCCAAAGTGAGCATCCCATTCAGGAGCAAGCCACAATGTAGCCCTGACTCTGACACCAACTTCCTCTGGATTCTGGGGCAAGTCACCCAGTCTCCCTGTGCTTCCTATGAAAGGAAGGCTGGGGCTGTGGTTCCAGACAAAGGGGACTTGAATCCAAGTCAGAGTTCTGCCACAGACTCTCTGGGTGGCCTTAATGTCTCTTGGCCTCAATTTCTCATCTGTAAAATATGGATAATACTAACTTTCCCATCCTTTATCTGCCCTTATGTTTAGATAAGTTCTGGGCAGAGGCTCTGTAAATGTATATAGCCCCCAGCACAATGGGACCCTGATTCTGGTCACAGCTTCTACCATATTATAAACATTTACCCTTCTGTCAGATGGGTAATGAAAACAATCTTTTGACTCCTCAGACCAGACCTTCCCATCAAACCCACAGAAAGCAGTAACCTTATTACCAGAGAGTCAAATGCATGGCATCTCCCCCTCCCTCTGCCTCGTCATTTTTTGGTAGAATGTGGATCACAGGGTAAGGTCCCTTTATAGATCCTGACTGAATTCTTGGCGAGCTCGTAAAACAGACGGAAAAGCATCCTTTTGGGCAAAACAGCGTCATTCTGCAAAGCTCTGACCATTCACTATAAATGGGAAAATGGGTTTTACTGCTTGTCTTGAAAGTTCTCTCCCCAGTGTTTATATAACATAGGCCAACATAGTTTATAGGGTGCCTGAATGTATTCTGTGCCTGAGAGATCCTATAATAAAAGTCAAGAAGCAAAAGAGGCCAAGCCATAAGCAAAACTGAATTAAAAAAGCAAACAGTGGAGCCTTCGCCAAGGCAGAGTGTCTGTGACAGGAGGAGTAACCCTGCTCCTCACAGATCTAAGCCGGATGCCTTCCATGAACAGAGAGGTGGTTAGCTATGGAAAGCTTAAGCAGCTTTTATTCAGTTAGTTCATAAGGTGCACCTCTACCTTGCCTTCTGCCAGATCTAAGCCTAGTATGGAATTAACGCCTCAAATTTAGCTGGAGGAGGGAGGCCCCTGGAAGGCTTTAGACACAAGGCTACTCACAGAAACATCTAAATTAATTAATCAGGTTATGTTAAGTCAGGTTCTCTGGGACAGAGTGACCACAGTTGAGTCCAAAAAGCCATAATGAATCTGCGGGCATCCTAGGGTGAGGACCATGTTGTCTCTAGGCTCCATGCCATGAAGGATACAGAGTGGGGGTGATAATACTGCCTTATTTCCTTCCACCTGTCTTGTCTACTTAGACATAACCCTCTCACTTCCATATACAGTGGCTCAGAGCTGTGATCTCAGCTGGGTTCTGCACATGCTCATTTAATCAAAGGTATGTAACCATGCATGGATCCAGCATTGAGGCAAGGGGGCTCAAGAGACAACCCCTTTAGGAGTGTGGCGCATACGTAGTTGCAGCAAGCTCTCTGTAATGTACCACCCAGCCAAAGGGAGTGTGGCCACACCCCACAGCCCTAAATGCCAGTGAGCTCACCAGATAGACAGTGTGGGGTCTGGCCAAAGCCCCTGATTTGGTACAGCGCCAGAGCCCAGGCAATAAGCACTGCTGTTACCCCTCTTGCCCACAGCACTGAATGCAGTAGCAAGGGAAAAGAGGTGATGAGCATTGGCAATGGCATTCAGCTCCTGTTTTCAGAAAGCTTTGGAGCCCTGTACTACTGCTCATCTCCTCTTTTCTTTCCCCCTCCTGCTGA